TAGAAAACAGCAGCTTTTTGGCACTGCGGCAGTGCCGATAGAAAACAGCAGCTTTTTTTCGCACTGCGGCAGTGCCGATAGCCTCAGCCATTGTGGCTACTGTTAAAGGGACAGTTTGTAAGGGGGAGGTTCACTAGTTCCTTGCTAGGCCTAGGCTCTAGGAAGCCTACCTTCTCCGGCTCCAGAACGGGTGGTTTCCATATATTTGCTAGCTAGGCTAGCCTAGCATATGCCTGCTATGGCCTACTCTTTATTACCCTGCCAGCCCTGCCATTTAAATTTAAAAACACACCTTCTTTGTTTCGTATCGCTCAGTCACTTGGCTGTAAAAGGAGCTATCCTGGCATTACATACCGAACTTTGGCCCATTTATTAAAAACAACAAACTGCCCACATGATGACACGTACACCGACGTAATACCGATCTCAAATACAACACAAGATTACTGGCCAACCACAATGATTGTACAAGTTATGGAACGCCCATTGAGTGATGTTTAGACAAGCATGGAAAACAAAAGTCAACGAATCCTTATTATGATTCAACATTCCATAATTATTGTCATTAACTGTAGATTTCTGGTGAGAACAATTCAAAAAAAGACATTTAATAAATATTAGTAATAAACAAAATAAAAAAAAAAAAATTAAACATTTTATATCACATAGCCTAGCCTTTCGACCCCCACATTTTGGCTGGATCCGCCCCACTGGAAATAAGTCTTCCTCTAGACTTTCGTAGGCTATCCTTGGTGGTTTACATACACCGAATAAATCCAATCCAACTCAACTGATGGCAGTGAAAATAATATCGTAGATTGCTCTGACTCTAAAAGAAAAAGGCAAACAACATGTTTTTCATTTCACCAAGTGAAGGAAGCAGGCCGGCCTGGCATAACAAGAAATGAGAGCGTAATTTTCCAAGTTTAACAAACTTAATCAAAGACTAGATCGAATAAGCACTAGTTAAAGTTGTATTATAATATATGAAAATCGCTAAATTGATTAGGTCAGGTCTACCAGTCATCTTGTGGTCCCGCCTTGCAGGGACGTATCCAGGGGGGGGGGGGATACTTCTAAACATGTAAATATGCATCAGTACACGTTATACATAGGCCTAATAGAACACATAGGCCTAAGCGTGATTTTAAAAAATCTTAAATCCATAAATCTCAGGCCAGGTCTTTTAAGATAGAAATGCGATACTGTGGTTCAATTTCGTTTTTATCCTTTTTTTCTTTAAATGTTTGTTTAATAATACTACTACTAATAGTAATAATAATAACAATGATGATGATGACGATAGTAATAATTGATATTAATATTAATAACAATAAAAAGTGAAGAAAATCGTGCTAAATGCTAAAAAAAAGTTGTGATTTGTTGATCATAATATAGTATATAGTTAAAGCTTAGTAAGCTATAATTATTCCTAAGTTGTCCTGGATATTAAGTAGATCCCTGATAAAAGATCATGAGAAATTGTTTGGCGTTTCATTTTGACTATAATGGTATTATGGGATGATGATGAATTTTACTATATAAAAGTGTCATTTCCGGCCATCTCGAGAGGTACTATTTCCTCCAATTTTCTCACCTCAGCCCCAGCCACGGTGGGGCTGAGGTGGTTGTAAAATCACGTTTTTGAAGTAGCCCTATGTAAAGTACATACTCAAAGAAAATGTATTTAAGCTTTGTTTTCTCTGGTATACACACACACATTAATAAGATCTCTATGGTTGTCAAAAATCCATGATAAAAGATCATGAGAATTTTTTTTTTGGCGCTTCATTTTGACTATTGGTGATGTGATGATGATGAATTTTACTAAAAGTGTCATTTCTGGCCATCTAGAGGTACTATTTCCTCAAATTTTCTCACCTCAGCTCCAACCATTGTGGGGCTGCGGTGGGTGTCGACTCACAAAATGACCTCCCCCTCCACTTTTCAAAACAGATCTGTGCCCTTCCCTGGGTATGACCTGATGTATGTCTTAGTGACTACTGTTTGTTTTTAGGATGTGATCTAGTTTTTCATGTACATTTTTCGTGATTATGACTATTCTGGATAAAGAATGTTTTAAGCAAAGGTGGATTCAAGCCCCCCCCCCCCACTTATTTTTTTAAGGAAAAAAAGAAAAATATATTCAAATTTCAAAAGTGCGAGAGTGTAATTTCCGGCCATCTAGAGATGCCCTAATCATAATTTTTTTTACCTCAGCCCCAACCATGGTGGGGCTGAGGTGGCTGGTTCCTCGGTCTGTGAAAGTTCCTCCCTGGTTCACCTCTCTTTCGAATTCCTGGATCTGCCACTGGAGCTGTTGATTTATTATATAATTATTTTTGCACTTATTTATAATGCGTCTATTGCAATTTTCACTTTATCCTCTCAAACAGTCCTAAGAACGTTCAGAGTGCGCTACTTCACAGGGGGATTCGTCCCCTCCTTGACCCCGCCAGGGTCATACGTAATTCGCATAACGGCTCCTCCCCCCCCCCCTTTCAAAATCCTGGCTACCTCCCTACCGCCTTGCAAACAGAAGGATGTTCTAATTTTCAACTTAAAGTTAGTAACAAAAATGAACAAAGTATGAATTCGAATACTGAATTTTATTATTTTTTTATTTATTAGCTAGCACAGATCGAGAGCCATGGTAATAGTCCCCTGCTCAACTTGACGTTATTCCAGGGGCGGATCAAGCCCGACAAGGGAGCGTGAAGTGCGAACTGAGTGAGATTCTCGAAGTGCGAACTGAGTGACTCAGTTCGCACTTCGAGAAAAGTCCCGTTGGGTGCAAGGGCGACCCCTTAAACCTCTAGCACCTTCGTTAATTTTAGTTTGTATTTGATTGTCTTTTACCATTTAGCACGGTAAATTGTTTGATTACAAAACCTTTTTATTTTTACAAAAAAATAGAGGACTTTTTAGCCCCCACTCTCTAATTCTGCCACTGAACGTTACATTTGTTCTTTAAAAATGTTTTTTTGTAAATCATAAATAAATATAATATTAAACCATGGAGGTATAGCTCCATGATTAAACGTGTTATTCATATTCAGCAAAGGGCCATTGTTTTTTTTTTTTCTTGTAATGGTGTTTTGTATATATAGTGTGATGGTCGGTGGTCTTATGACCAAAATGATGTCATTCTTTATTTGGCAATATTACTGCCATTATATCATTTGCGACTACTGCAATGGTTTTCATCAAAGCACCGAAAACCTTAAACAAATGACTATTTTACTGGAAGATTGTTGATTAAATATATTATTCGCAAGGATTACATGATAAGGTAACCGAATTTGACTACGGTAATCTTAATCCAGCGGGAAATTCTAGCATGTAACAAATATGCAAGTCATTATAGGGAGTAACAACTAATTCATGTAAGAGCCGTAGATATAAAAACAGCGCGCTTCCACCATTTTGTAACCACTTGAAGTGATACTGTTTTTGCTTTCGCAGTGACGGAACGGAACGGCGCTTCAAACTTCTCAATATCTTTTATAATATTCATATACTTGTGTTTATATACATCTAACGATCAACAATGGCCTGTACTCTTCCAAGACAAAACTACCACGCAGAATCTGAAGCAGCTGTTAACAAGCAAATCAACTTAGAACTGTACGCTTCGTACGTGTACCTTTCTATGGTATGTATTGTAACGTTTGTTTTAAGTGCTAAAACGAAAACGTCACACACTTCAGAGCCACAAGCACATCCGGGTTCAGTATTACATTTGGCGTTTACTAGGGCATACGCCCTTCATAGCAATGAATATTCTGTTACTTTATATACATTTGAACCTTGAGTTTTGGGGCCTATCTACCTAAGGCAGGGTTGCTTACTTATATAGTAGGGACATGCTGAGGTAGGCCTAGGCCTACATGTAAAAAGAAGAACTTAACCGGCTATAAAAGTAGTAATTTTTTTTTTTCAAATCTGGGACGAGGCGTCCAGCCTACCCTAGCCAGCAGGCCTAGCTAGGCACCACATGATGAATTCAAAGTTAAATATATAAAAAAAAAAAAGAAAGAAATAGCACAAAAAAACTACTCTTTCTCAGAATCAGTATCATAAAAAACTTTATTTGAGGAAAATTGAGCCACTGGTAACTTAGGGTTTTATAAACATTTGAGGTTTCTGAGCACGTAAATAGAAAGTTGCATGTACTGTATAACAATAATATTTCTGTAACTTTTTGCCATATATTTTTGTTAATTTTTGTAAATGCTAAAAATAGTGTGCATTTTGATTGTAAATTTTTACTGCAAATTACTTTGGTCAAGTAACAACGACCCGAAAAATTATAAATTTTTCAGATGACCTTTGACCCACAATTCTGAAATTGAAATTCGGAAAAAAAAATAATAAATTTGAAAAAATAAATAAATAGTCATAAAAAAAGTCTTATTGTTCTTGCATTCTCAGAGTAATTGCATTGTCTGACAAAGTGTTGGCGCAATTTGTGACAGGCTTTAATGGTGTATAAAATTTTGCAAACTAATATAATAAAAACTATACAGTACACAAGTATAGATATATGAAAAAATTTATTACTAGAATTAATCTGGAAGTAAAACTATCCCCCGCCGGACACCTTCCTGGTATTTCTGAGTCTAGGTTTCGGGGCTGAAAATAATACTTATGTACTAAATTATGTTACACAAATGAAAAATAAAAATATTACCCCCGCTGGACTTCAAATGACGAATTTCATTGGCCGTTACACATGACGTCATCGTCTCACAATTCTCTCGAAATCATCCTGTTTAATATCCACTTCAATCCTAAATATTTAACTATTTTTTTAGATAATCATTAGGTAAAAGTATATTTTATACTTTAAGTATCATTTAGTTGACTTTTTGAACTCCATATTTATTTTATTTACATGAAAAATATTGTTAAATACGTAAAAATTGTTATGGTTTACCTCGCGACAATGACGGCCGATCAACAGCTGATCGTCGGTTTTGCGATGCCTCATATTACATTCAAATTTCGCAAATAAACTCTTAGATTATAAACTAATCTTTGTTATTAAAAAATTGAACTTTATTACTTCTATTTACTTTTCAAAAGCTGGTAACTTCGATAAAAGTTTACCAATTTTGGAAAAAAATTGAAATGGTATACTACTTCGACCCTGTTTGACCTGATGAAAACGTCTTAACCAATCAAAAAGCATTTTATATGAATATTTTCTTAAGGCCTTTGTTGACAAAAACAAGCTTAGCTGAACTGGGTTAATGACACTAATTGAAGTGTGTGACGTCACTCATCGTGTGGTGCCTAGCCTATAGTATAGGACCTAGGCCCCTAATAGTGAAGCCCACACCCCCCCCCCCCCCCCCGGCCCTAGTACTTGGTCCATACTGTAAATTGCGCGGAGGATACCTAAAAAGTCGGCTCAAATTTGCGTGGAAAATTGATAGGAAAATAGTATATTTAATTATTAGGAATGTGACAAAAGAATCAAAAACAAGGAATTTTCTTGGCAGCTAGTACTGTACTACCATTTGAAAGAGCATTTAAAATGTCATTAAATTGATAAACAAGATCATTGCCCGTCGTCAAATATTAAGAAATTTACAAAATCATTGGTCATGCCTAATTTTGGTCCTCTAAAACCAATGTAAACAATAAAAAAGTATGTGACCTTTTTTTGAAAAATGTACAAAAACTTATTTGTTTTTAGACATATAGAGGCCAAAACAATAGTGGGCTGTGCAGATTGTCAAGTTGCTGGCAGAAAATGATAGCGGTGCCATGATATCGCGCTCTCAACAGCCGATAGTCACACACCTAATATTATATTCAATACAATGCTTTTTTTTTTTTCAGTCCTACTACTTCGACCGGGATGATATTGCTCTGCCGGGTTTCAGACACTTCTTCAAGAAAAACCATGAAGAGGAGAATGAACATGCTCAAAAATTCATGAAGTTCCAAAACCAGCGTGGTGGCAGAATTGTCCTCCAAAACATCTGCGTAAGTATCAAGCATCACAAGCTCTAGACTGAGTACATTAATCAGTTCATATTCCTTGACCATTCCAAGAAATATAAACAATTCTTATTATTATTTATTAATTCTACTTTATCTACACACCTTTGAACTCCCCTATGCTCCTTCTCTCTCCCCCAACCTTACAAAATTGTACAAAACAATGCAAACTATTGAAACAACAATTAAAACTAATCATCATTTATATATTATTTGGGGTTAAGGTTTAATTTTTTTCAATATATTACATGTTAGACATGACTACTGCCTAGAAATCGTGTATCTGTAACTGCACACATTTTGCAAAAGGATATGCTAACTGCATATGCAATCATAGTTAGGAGTTGACAGAAAAGGATAGGAGCAGTTAGCTTGGTTGTTAAGATGCTCGTCTTCCATTCCGAAGGGTCCTTACAGACAAGAGGAGTTTTTGTACCAACTATAAACTCCATAAAACTCCACTCCATAACCTTCAATAATATTCTATTTTGTAATTGTCACATTTACGTGATGTTGAATGTTACATTCTGTCATATTCAACATCGCGTTTACGTGATGTTGAATATGACAGAATGTAAGATTTAGTAATGTTTGCAGTGGCTACAGCGTTAGGAGTATTAAAATGTTCCTTTCTTTTTTAGAGACCCGAGAAGGATGAATGGGGAACATGCTTGGAAGCCATGCAGGTTGCTCTTGACTTGGAAAAGAATGTTAACAAGTCTCTGCTGGATATGCACAACATTGCAGAAAAGCATGGTGATAAGCAGGTACTTGCATATTAATGTCCAGACTATCAAATTTCATTTGACAAAACATTGACATGCCTAAATATGGTCATATGACATCACATAATGACCATAGGTATGTGTGATTATATATTGTGGCACAACAGTTTATTTGTCAAAGAAAATTTTATCTTGTTGACAGAGCTTTGAACAATTTAATTTGCCCTGTTGTTGTTGTTGTCTTGTTTCCCGTTTCCTAATGTGGTCTTGTATCCACACCAAATCCCTTTTTATAATACTTTGTAATATTGTCTTGATAAATTTGTCTAAAATTATAGGTGAAATTAATTCGGAACTATTATTTAGTACTGTATTTAATTGTTTTAAAAAAAATTTTTAGCCTGAATACTCAATTATTGATAATTTGAAATACTGTACTTTTTCTTGAAACCGTAATTACTTTATACATTTTTTGTTGAATATTTAGATGTGCGACTTCTTGGAGGCAAACTACCTGACAGAGCAGGTTGAAGCAATCAAGGAGCTGTCGGACTACGTGGCCATTCTGAAGCGTGTTGGCCCAGGCCTTGGCGAGTACATGTTTGACAAGGAAACCCTCGGAGGCGAATCTTAAACTGTTTTGTTATACTTCCTCAGCTACCATAGTAACTCTCTACATAAAATTAAATATATTTAGTATATACAGCCTGTATGTTCAGCTGGTATACATATACAACAAACCTATATATATATAGATATGAAAATAATGAGCTCCTGAAATGTTTTAACTTGAATATATACACAATTAAAATTAGCATTCAACCAGCCTGTAAACAAATTTTGGTCATAATCGCAATTAATTTTTAGGCCTATGCAACACTACCAGAACTTCTAAATACAGTAATTACAGTATATAAGAACTCATTGTAGGCTCTTATTCTGTACAGTATATAATTATATCTAAATACTGCAAGTTGTATATTAGGCTGTTGATAAAGTAAATATGTGAGGTCTTACCACAAAATGAGGCGCATCGTTGGTGAAATCATATTGAGATATTCACCAAAATAGGTCAAAGGCAACATTTTTACAAAATTTTGGTTTTATTGTTTTCGAATAACTTGATACTGCTTATATTTTATGATTGTGTACTTTTTAAGTGAATTTACTTACTAAAACAGTGTTTTCTTCGCATATTCTGTAATTTTAGTCCTATTGTTTGTACAAGTTAGTTGAGTTTGAGGCCGATTTTCTCAAAACCTGGTTCTCGTACACCTAAACTCTAAATGCTCACATCTCTGGATCTATTTATCCTAGGGAAGCCATTCAAAGACCAAATTAAAGCTTATAATGTGATCTACCATATAAACTCATTTTTTGATTTTCTAACGAGGAGACTCATTTTGTAGTAAGACCTCACATATGTAGTTGAGGAAGAACATTACAAACACAATTCTGTATGCTATAAACCATTAAGAAAATGATATTAAAAAAGCAAAACTGAATGGTGTTTTTTTTTTTGGTTGAAGTTGTGTAACAACAAATCAGTACATCAGTTGTAGGTAAATCAATCTATTTTCCACAATTGTATACTATATATACAAAAGTCAAAAACATTAATAATTGTATAATCACGTGCCATTACTAACATAGTATTTACGAACTAAGTAAATTTTTAAGAATTGAAATTTTATTTTAATTCTATCTACCAACTTCGCCTCCTCTGAAGAACAGCAACATCAGTAGGGTCAGGGACACACTACCCCATCGGGGAAGAAGCCATAAATTTCGTCAGTGAAAACTGTTTGACGAGTACCATTTCTAGGCTTCTTAAAAGTGCCAATTCTTAACCTCATCCATGGTAGAGGTGGTTATGTGTCCCTGGCAGGGGGCTCGGACGCGGAATCTCTGGTCCCAGACATACATGTGTAAATAATATGTAGATTTTTATATAGCGCTCTACACAACAAAGTCTTGGGGCGCTTTCCCACATATTGCAGTCACTGGCAAAACGATGCCTATGGGGAAAATTCCATGGTTTGCTGCATAAAAAATATATCCGATGCAGTTGAACCTCAGCTAAACTACTTGTCATAGGCGTAGATCCCGGGGATGGGGGATATATCCCCCCAATATTTGACAAGGGGATGGTCCATTGTATCATCCCCAATATTTTGACCATGTATGGGATAAAATGGAGTTTTACACACTTAAAGACTGTCACAGAAATAATTTGCACTGTCTTATGTGCTTACAAGATGAAAATTAGCATAATTCATTAATGTTGATAACAAAATTATTTTATCTGGTACCAATCTAAGCTCTTCTTTCCTTAGATGTTAGAGGTGCTTGCAAAGAAAGCCACATTTCACACTCAAGGGTGTGTACGACATCAGTAATATTATGTCAATTCCAAGAATGTTTAAGGATATATCGGTTGATGAGGAATTTATTGATTAGGCCTATAATAGCAAATTGCATCAATTTATTTTGCAAAAACAAGAATTCCAGCTTCAGAGGGGGCACATCCCTTGTCCACACAAGGGCACACATTGGCGCCAACACCAGGCACGTAACAGGGGTCTTGGGTCAGAGTGGGTACGGTAGTTATTTTCCCGGTTAGTAATTTACCGTACCTACCCCACCCCACCCCTCTCCCCCTATAGAAAACAATACGACATACGGTAGGGCTTATATTTATAATATAGGTCAAATACGTGTGTTTGAAACTAAATATAAGCATTTTCATCATGGTTTTATTTATTACAAACATATTCTTTCACCATCAATACATATTGAGGCCCTTCTTTTAGGTTAAAACGATCTTAAATTTGTCTTTCTTGAGTTTGGGACTATTATTAGGCCTATGTGTTTAAATAACTTAACAGGATAATCCTAAAAAAGCCCTAAAAAATGCGCGCGAAGCGCGCAAAATACTTTTGTTTTTAATTCTAATTTCGTCGGAATTTATGAAAACTCCCTAAAATGTGCAATTTATAGAGGAAATTGGCCAACCATAACAAGAAATACGAGCAAAGAATTTGAGAATTTTAGGCACTTTCATAGGATGCATTTGTCAAAGGGTGGGGAAAGATTTTCCAAAGATGGATATTTTTACCTTATCCCCCGGTGTTTTTAATTCTAATTTCGTTGGAATTGATCAAAACTCCCTAAAATGTGCAATTTTAAGAGGAAATTGGCCCATGCCAACAATAAATGCGTGTGAAGCGGGCGAAATTTGAGGTTTTAGGTACTTTCAGGGGATAAAAAAGGCATCTATAAAGAGGTGGGGAAGATTTCTCAAAGATAGATATTTACCCCTTGTCCCCCAGTGGTTAAGCCATCGGGCAGCATAGATAGAGTTATGACAGTTTTTGAAGTGGAGAAGGGGTTGCAGGGTGTTGTGAGTCTGGTCATTTTGATATCTTTCTTTTTATTTTTGTCTTTTTTTCTCATCTCTTTTTCTTTCCTTTTCTTTTTTTCTTCTTTCTCTTTCCCTCCCTCTTCCCTTTTTCTTTTCTCTTATTACCCAGCCCGGTACGACGGCTTGGTCAGCCCGGTAAAAACCGTCAGGGGAGGG